CTAAAATTTGATTCGAATATCAAAATAGATTACATATTAACAACGTTTTACCATAAATAAACTCTTGCTAATTGAATCCACTTATTTCAACCTGAACTTCTATTACATAAAAAAACGTCACTATTACAGGGAAAAATCAGTGGATTTCTATTTTACAAATTTTAATTATATAAACTATTTGCCTATTGACAAATTCACTTTTATCTTTATCTTTATTAGCTGTATTATACATTAGAAGCTAGTTGTTGTTATGTATTAACTACGTATTAAATATATCTACTGGATGTTTTGTTTTCAATCTTCTACTGTATTATAATAATTTTTTATTAAGCTGTTTGAGTAGAAGTTCATTCTCTTCTTCCATTCTGTACTAAGAAGGCACAACTCCTCTCACTGACAAAATACTTAAAAAACTTTCAGATATCGTCATTTCAGGTGTATTTTATTATTATTAAAATGTTATTATTAAAAGTTCATACAAATGGAGTTCTACTGTACTATTTTTTAGGATTTTGATACTCTTACATATAGATTATGAATGTTTATGCAATTTTTAGAATGATAATCAGAAAAATATGATGTGATCAAAAAACTATTTTATTCATTAATTTTTTTCAAGAAATTAAAATTTTTTGTTTCTTTATTAATTAGTACAGAAAACAATACTCTGCATGGATCAAACATGATTCAGCATAGCAGTTCGAGGTTCAAACATTATAAGGGGTATTAAACTCTGAACATTCTACATAGTACCTAATACACAGTACCTAAAGCTTCTTGCGTCATGGTAAATTATTTCACAATTCATGCCATAATCTATTAAATTCTCAATATCGTTCATTGTAAATTGAAACGAAACATCTTGCATACACATATACTATATATAGTAACGAGCAAATGCATCGATATAATATGAAATTTTCAAGAAACGACATTGATTAATGATCGCGCGGTTTCTCTCAGTGACTCGACTTATAAGTGGATATCTACCAGTCAAAGAAAATCTGCTAACCGAACATACAACTGCGTTCTAAAATTGTATAAAATTAATATTCAAGTCTTTAGATTGTCACGCATTCACCAAATAATTAAATTTCCTGCACGCAATTTATACGAAACATCATAAACTGAGATGTTAACAATCACATCTCGTTAAACGAAATTTGAGAAATCAGGTTCTATCAGATACAACAACGAAACGAACGTTTCTTTCTTATTTTTTTCTTTTCTTTTTTTCTTCTGATTACTTTCGATTAAAACTTTTTATACAAAAAGTTCAAGATAATATATAGTACTACGTTGATTATATTTCCATCGTAAAATTAAATTTAAATATTAAATTAATATTAACACACTGATTGGGTCATTTATCAAAATGTAAGAATCATGTGTATCAATAGGTAATGATTAAATTAAATTCAATCAGATTGTCGAACAAATGGACAATTCATATAACAATTCAATTTCTTTTTCTTTCTTCTTTGATTAAATATCTCTAATGACTTACGAAGATACTTGAAAAGTTACTGTAGAGAACTTCTATATATATGTTTCATATGTTCTGAATCTTTTTAGCACGTGTAATAAGTAAAACAAAATATATAAGATAAACATATGCATAGCATAAAATCAATATAAAGCAATAAATGCATTAATATTAATATTATCTATAGATTATCTATAGATAATTGGTTATTTAAATACTCTTTGGATTTTTAAATAACATGGATCTATTTATATATTATATTTATATATATATATTTACATTAAATATTTTCTAGTTCCTATATATATTATTTCTTTTCATTGTAATCCTAATAAAATTTTAATATATATATATATATATATATATATATTGAATATATATTATATATATTATATTGTGTTTCATACAACACATAAATAAAACAAGAGATATCATCATAAGTGTTCAAATATTTTTGCAAGACGCAAAAATATCATATTTCTTGTGATTTGATTATTGTTTAATTTGTATTTTGTTATAAATAAAAAGGAATGAATATGACCATACCAAAAAATAATATAATGTATAATAAAAACAATAATATATAACATATGTACAACAAAAGTAATAATCACATAAAACAGTTTAAGAGAAATTTTATTCACCGCGAAACCGCTGGTTGAAAGTTTAATTTCTCTTTCGATCGGGTATAAATCAAGCAACCTGTGCAATGGACAGGCCCAGTTTATTCTCCCGATCCAGCGGCGATTTAATTATCACATATCCATCCTTCGTCATCATGATCAATAAAGGGGGAACGTCTTTCATCAAACCAATCAACATATTCAACAACATAGCTTAATAACTTGAGAATAAAAAAGATAAGATGTATAATATATGGTACAAGCTTTCAAGGTCGATGTCAGCTTTACCAAAATACGATCGAAAAGTAATAATTCATCATTTCAAGAATAACTTACTAAATTCCCAATGACACCAACTTTCGTGAATATTTAATTACTATTCTTGTTAACAAATGAAATGAGAATTTCAAAGCAGTATTGTCAATAATGTTTAGTACAATCACACGTATCACAATGCACATTTTAGAAGAACACAATATTTTTAGATTGCACGTCGTTGCAATCTAAAAATAGGAGATGGTACAATCGAAACCGAATTCTTAATTTTCAAAATCTCGAAGTTCAATTATTATAATTTCTCATTACTTATATAATCTTTCTTTTGGAATTTAATTTATATTTAGAAATATGATTTAATTATAAAATGCATGTTAAAATAATATTTCGGTTAATTAGAATGTATTGAATCCAATATAATCTCTTTTCTAACATTTAATTTAAATTTAACCTAATTTAAACGTCTGTAATGATTCTAATAAATTACTCAAATTTCATATCTCATACAATTTTCTTTCTTAAAATTTAATTTAAATGAAGTTATTTAGAAACTTGTAAAACTTCTAATAAATGATCCAATATGGACGGTTACCGTTTCAATAACTAATAATATCAAAATCGAACATTTAAAAATTTTCCATATTTTAATAATATTTTAACACTCGATATATCACTACCTTTTGTGGCTTCGACGCTTTTCATGAAGTACACCATGAAGAAAAGAAATTGGGGAATATTTTCTTACAAGTGAGAAGAAATGTATTGAATTAAAAGACGTTTCACTTTAACTGAAAGTAACACCACATATAAGTATTCGAAGTATTAACCGTCAATTTGGCGCTAAATTCGAGACGGGATTATGTCGAACATTCAAACGATGACACGGTCGGTACATACAAGCGACTTCTTTATCTGACGATCTGATCATATTATCGTTTCATCGGAAAAGTAACGTGAATATCGAGCAACGATCGTGATCCGAGACATGGATACTATCAGCCAAGCAATCATCGAAAGCAATCTTGTAGCCTATCTCTTTTTCCATTTATGCTTTTACAGGATTTAACTGCAGCTTATTTTTCCACATGGAACATTTCCTAACCTCCAATTTTTTTAATTGGTCTTCATTCTTTTAATAGCTCAAGCAAAAATAACAAACTCATCAATGAAGAATAACTTTTAATCAATTTCAGTTTAAAACTTTTAAATGAAAATGAATATTCATAATGAATCTATTATGTGAACAAATTATCAATAAAACAAATTGTTTACATAATTTATCAGAAATATCAATTTTGTCTGGATCGGACTCATTCGTCGAAGGGAACACGTATTTATTTTATTTGACATAAATTAAGTATTCATTAATTAGATTATTATTGAAGCGAATAAATTGACTACAAATTCTAAATGTTCTATTAACGTGAAATTGATCTTTAATAGATTATACACATGTACATCAAATTACTGTTGAATTTATTGTCATTTACACTTTTAATTAAATTATTTTAACAACTCATTTCTCATTACTCTTTTAATTAAATTATTTTAACAACTCATTAAAGTTGCTTTTAAATAATATCTCACGATGTTTATTTAAAAGCAACTTTAGTAATTTAAACTATTCAGAGAACCACGTCACTTCGATTTCGTTAATTTTGAACATTTCGAGAAGCAATATTGACTGAAACGAAAAAAAAAAAAAGAGAAGATCGTCAAGCAAAGTAACAAAATTTAATTGCAACGGCCATAAACCGGATAAACATTCAATCAACGATCCATCGACGCCAAGAATAGAGGAAAAGCGACGGTTTGCTAGAAATTGACGCAAGAACTCTTGAATCAAGACCGCAAACGATCGACCGACGTACCCGTAATCAGAGGCAGTTGCTCGAAAGACAAGCTCATAAAGCATACTTTCTTGGCTCGCTTGTCTTTGGTTAATAATTACATGGGGAACGATCGTGGAACGTAGAGAAAATTATCGTACCTGTACGGACCTCGCAGCACCTGTTATATCGATGAAAGTTCCAAAGGGTCTAATTTCATCGTGGAACATTTGTCCGCCACTTATTTGCATGCTGTATGCACACAGTACACGCAGTGCACAAACTAATAGTTCCTAAACTAGAAAAATCGTAATTCTTTTGGCAGAATGTTGTAATATAAATCTTTACAACAGTCCGTGCTTTTTTTGCTGAAAAATATAATTTGATATATATATGCAGAAATTTAAATATTACACGATATACATACGTTAGTCTATAAAAAGAAAATAAATTCCATTTTTCATAAAGTTTAATATAGTGAACGTTCACCCGTTCTACAATGTATAAAGGAAAATTCTATTTTTAACCTAAAAATACGATCAAGTAGTATAAGCTCGACCAAAACAATTGATTCGACAACTCGTTGTTCGAAGATTTCAAGTTCAAATTAAGAATTTAGTTGCAAAAAATATCCGACAGGTTCGAAACACCAACTTTTCTTGCCGTTTTGCAAGTAACGAATTCTTTTGCTTCCGATACACGAACACTTTCAATCGACCTTACACGTAGCCGATTTCTCTTCTCATTTACCAGACTAAGTGGAATTCTTAATTATAGTGGACTTACATCACGTACGCACGAGAAATCCCTCCTTCTGCATTTCCGTACATATCCAACAGGATCTCGGCTCTCGTTCGAGGCATCTCTGATCCTGTTTCCACCGTGTATCCGAAAGAAATTGTTCGCCAACCGGTACACTAATTAAAACACTCCATACACCATCGAAAATGCAGAATGTGAACAGAACCCGTTTCTTTTGGTTGTAACTCGTAACATGATTCAAACACGGTGATATTTTAAATTAAAGTCGTAAACAATCATGACAAATTATGATTTAGGTATGTAATACCGTCCCGTTGCCTAACCACATCGTAATTAATTCACCAAATGGCCAGTTTAAAGTGGAGAATGCGCGCGAAATGCCCGATCACTTCAGTTGCAAACGAGCTGCCCTCTGTCATTCTAATATCGCAATAAAAGAAGTAAGAAAACAAGGTGAACCCTCAATTCAACCAATTTTAAGCGTTTCTTTCTTTTGCAACGGTGAAATCTAGTAATCAAAGGCGGACTCGTGCATAAGTACTACGGTATTTTTATATACATTTATATACATATTTATATACATAAGCAAATTATATTTTTTCACTCTCAATTTTTTTCGATATATAAAAATATTTATTAATTTATTCTAATAATATCTATATTTATTAATTTATTTAATCCTACATCATTTTTTTACTTTGTATAAAAGAAATAATAAAAATCTACTATATTTATAGTATGTATGTATATTTCGAAAGTTGCAGCACCTCCACAATTTTAAGCTACGAGCCGCCACTACCAGTGACTGTGAGTTATTTGTAACGGAGAACGTTGATAATGTACGTTTAATTACTATTGCTTATCTATTCCTAGACTATTTTGTTCATATTATTATACTGTATAACAAAGATTATTGAAAAAATATTGGAAACATAAATATTATACAATATTTGGAAAGTAACTAATCTTTTTACTATTATTCAACGTTTTCTCTCTTGTATACTGCGAGGTTATAAAAGTTGACATCTAAATTTAGAAATTAATGCATTGAGAATCACTGTTGCAAACATTTTATTTGTAATTTGTAAGTTCTGTTCTTTTTTATTCTAACTGTAAAAGTGAATTTCAACGATTCACCTAATATTTTTTTGTCATTCCCACTTACAATTATTAGTACGAAATTTAAAGAAATTGAATTACTTGGTTCTTAATGGGTTAATTTGTATGGTTAATCGAATTTTTATTGGCATCAATTTCGAACGTATAACTCAAATTTATCGAACGAAATGTTACAGATACGACTGGGAAAATGATTTTAAATTTTTAACAGGTAACGAAGTATGAAAATACGGCTCAATTATAACACCTTTCTCGATGCGAACTATAAATAGTCGATATAAAGGATGTCGAATATAAAGGACTTAGCCAGGTGGTGAAATTTTAAACGACAGAATTACCGATGGAACTAGTCAATCTCCATCAGATTTCAATTAACAATGCAGAACTGTGGAGGAGGAGGAGGAGGTAGGAGCGTAACGTCTATTCCAATTGAACAAGCAGCAATCCATCTTTTTCAATCATTTGACCGGCGACTGGATGCCGCATCCGCATTGCTAATTACCGATTAACCGGAATCGGCGTCGATTAACGGCTGGCATCAGTATCCGTCGTCGGCATCCGAACGATCGAACGCCGCGTTTCTCGTTGTCTCCCCGAAGGCGAAGGCGGCAATGAGAAATCTTTTAATTAAAGATCTCGCGAGATAAGAATGTATCCCTTGCCCCCATCGCGGTATCCGTCTACCAGGACTCGGATGGGAAGAACATTCCTTCAGTGATCACGGTGGACCAATCAGGTGGAGGTTACAGCGGCAAAAACCACCGAGAACAAAGCGTTCAATTAAATGCTCATCCTCGACTGGCTCCGGCTACAACTGAGAAATCAACTTGACGCCGATCCACGAGATCAACCAAGCCGCTACAAGAAATGGGCCAGGCTGTTTCGAGCGTGTTCCACCCGTGATTTTCTGAATGTTTCGGATTGTTCGTGAAATTGAATTCTCCGGGAAGCCGCGTGTATGCTTGCGGTCAGCGTTGTTTGGAGAATCATGCTTCAGAAGAGCAGGTAGTATGATTGTATTTAGTTTCAATAACGTAGAAGATCGCGAGAGCGGTAGAAATTGCTCAAAGTTCTCGAATCTTGTAAATCTTGACCTTAACGATTGGTATCATTAATTGGTAGCTAATTAATGTAAGTTTCGGTTAGATTTTTTGGTTTTAGGAACACAAGTTTAGGTTTGGTTTTTGGTTATTTAATTTAGTCTATACTCTGTCACTTTTGAATAGAGATTAGCAATAATATTCATTGTATTATATATATATATAGGATGCAAATTACATTAGAAATACTCAGAAAATTTTTACATTTACAACAGTGCAATTTTGTCACTTGTGGCATTATCAAAGTTTGTCTTGTTTGTTTCATTTTTTTTTTTTTTTTTTTTTTATTCAAATTTCATAGTTCAGCCGCTGGTAGTTCTAATATAAAAAATATTCTAGACTTGAGTAACTATAATAAAGTTCCCGGTAAATTTTCCACTTTACATTGAAAAAGTAATATTTAAAGAATTTTGATTAATATTATATCATTATGTACATTGTTTTCTTTTACTTTACTTGAGTTCGTGTACTCAATATTACTCAAAATTTAAATATCGCTTTTTGCGTATGAAAGATCTACTTGATCAGAACTTTACATATACCATTGTAAGTTGTTAATCTTATCAAAATTAACTACATATAATTCAAAGAAACGTTGAAAAAATAACGAACCTCTTAGAGTTACAGAAATCTTGGATTAAAGAAAAATTGATCTGTTCGGGAGTTACCGTTAACGGCAGACTCCAAGTAATTTCGATTGTTCTACACCCAAGGTTACCGACGCGACGCGTACGCAAACCGGTTCTCCTCGCTCCATTGGCAAGGAAAGCACTATCAGTTCGCTATTGTAGCCAAAAGGAGCAACACCAGCTTGCGTTGGATATAATCGCGATATTTATTTACGATGATGTTCGGTATCGTTAGGCGACTTTAAGTATCACCATGAAAACTTCGATACAACGGAGATCCAATGCAATTGAATTCCCAATGGAAACGAATGAAAATGAAGATATATACGATATATGCGAAGATATATACGAATGCCATTCAAATAGGAGGATCCTTTTCTTATATATTCTTATATATTTCTTTCCATAAGCTCTCTTGATACTTACAATAATGAAAATGAGACAAAATACGAAAAGTAAAGTAATACAAAACATGCTAAAAAATAAATGTAGAAGAGACTGAGTAAGGAGAAAAAAGGAAACATAAAAAGTAAAATATAAAATAAAAAAATAAAAAAAGGAGAGAAAGCTGAGATTATTAATTAATACGCATAACACATAACTAGACGAACTAGTTTAATAAATGCAATGATAAAAACAATTTTAAGTTTTCATCGCGTTCCAAGAGAAAAAAAAAAAAGACGGGGTTGTACCGTGGTTTATCTATGCTCGACAAAAATTCATGATCAATTCATTACGTGACCGTTAGGATAATATGAGGAAACGAATTCGACGCGTTTTTGCACGATCGGACAACCGTACTTAATTTATTTTACCTTAAACGATCGTATGGCAAAAACGGCCGTGACGGAATTTCAACGGAGGGAAAGCGAAGTTCGCCAACGAACCGAACGTAGGATACGCCTAACGATGTTTTACCGAGAACCAGTGTCCCGCTCTAATGAGGTATTCAGTCAAAACCGATCCACGAGTCCAGATACCGACTGGCATTTCAAATACGCTGTTCCCGGTACTATTTGTAACATATTTGCATAGCAGCCGCATGCATAGGCGTCTCATTCTTTCCGCGTACCGACGCCAACCCGTCGCCGATCATGTCGATCAGTTCGACGTTTGAGGGAGAGCTCTCGTAAACCAGCGACATGCAACAGAGAAAATTGAAACAATTTGTTTGCTCTTATCGTCTGAAATTCTTAAGATCCCGTGATATACAACCCGCTGTAAGCATTATAAAAATACTTGCACAACAATTCGACTAATAATATTAGTAAATTGACAAGTTCCAAGTTATATGATATTATTAACTGGTAGCAAACTTGTTAATATTACAAAATGCCAATATATCATTGATATTTACTAAGTAAATACAATTAATTTGCACGTTAATTTATAACTCGTGACACATGAAGTTTCGCTATAACGATAATAATATTATATAATAGGTATAGTCTATATGGTTTAGTTTAATTAGTAATAACATGTAACAGCGTGAGAAATAATTCGTTTTAGACTATTGAGCCGATTTTGTTTGTGACAGGACATTCAGTTGCAGAATTTTGCAAATTGTTTATCGAGATGATCCTATCACAAAGAAAGAGACTTAAGATTTGGCGCCTGAGAGAGGATCAATCGCGCACTTGAGATTGCTGCCACCCTCTCGTTGACGAACCCGTTAGAATTAATATCAAAAAAGTTTCCTGAGTGAGAACTTTTTGCAAATTATTATTAAAGATTTTAAGATTACGTATTGCTGAATTTTTTGAACTTTGATTATATAATTTTAATTTTCTTAAGATTATATGTTGTTGAATTTTTTAAATTCACAAATAATGGTTTGTGCAAGAGAATCCCTACGATAGTTAGTATAAATTCAATGCTCTTCACTGCTTCTCCCAGTTATTTCATTCTAAATTTATCATATCATTTACATCATATATATTTTATAATAATGTGTTAATATTAAATGAAGTAAAATTTTTTAAAATTTTTGAGTTGAAACACTAATTAAATAAATATATATTCTAGTATTTTTAGTCACGTAGTTATTTAAATAAGATTAATTTACCTATTCATGTAATAGGTACTTGTTATTCTCGAAAAGATAATGCAATTAAGAATAATTATTGGTTCTGTTAATGCTGATTTAGAATCTTAAATCTAATTCATATATAATTAATGCATATAATATCAATTGTACTTAGTGCTGTAATGCATAAAATATCAGTATTCTTACTATTATTGATTTTTTAACTAAAAATCTAAAAGAGAATTGAATATCGAAAATACTTTAGATGATAGAATTAATTCAAGAGAGATTCAAGGGAGATTCAAGTATGTAAATTTTTCGTGAAGAGAATTTATGATCTGTATAGATTAATAAATATTCATGGAAAAACGGGTTTCTTTACGGATATTTTCGAATTTTTTATCTTAACACTTTCTTTTAATATAATTGTAAAAGATATCTCGTTTTTAATTGAACGAACTTCAACTTTTAACCAAGTTAAATTTAACCAGACTGGTAAAGATGTTTATCGTGTATTTCTTTTAATTACGTTCTATCGAGCAAAAATAAAGCATCTTGTTTACTTGCAAACGATTGTAAATAAGAAAGATAAATGAAATTTATAACATCAAAGCGGTCACTTAAAAGGACGTGAAATTTTCAGCGAATAAAAAAGAATCTTAATTAAGTTCAATAAGAAGTGGAACAAGTTCAGCACGAAAAGATAAAGGAGAAATTTTTCTACTTAATACTCATTCCTTTAAGTGGAAATACAAAAAAATAAAAACAGAAACGTCGCAATTAAATGGCAACAGGAATGGAATTCGTAAAGAAAAAGAGAACCGATGTCACAAGCTATAATTTTTTCTGTAAGCTTCAAGAAACTGGGTTGCAACGACAGGAATGTTCAATTATGTAACGATAGTGGCAGTAATTTAAAGCCCAACTTTCGAAATAAACATCAAAAGGAGACAAAATAATACTTATATATGAAATTTCAAACAAATTCTTTGATTTTTCCATTATGCTATTTAGTAAAATCTATAATTAAACACCGATCGAGTTTTTTTTATCACTATAATTCCGCAATAGAAATTTATTTTAAGAAGAACTTAAGAAATAAAATTAACTCGATCAATGACTATGAAGAAGTATGATTAAAAATGTAAAAGTAGCCAAAAATATTAGCAAATAAAAATTATTCATTATTACAAAAATATTTTCCCGCAGACGTGGCGACTTTTTTTTAGAATCTTCACATTCTCCACAATTCTTCACTGCCGCTTTCAAGATGTACGTTCGTCAATTCAAGATTTCCTTGCAACACAAGAATTTTTATTCAAAAATATTTCTTCCCAATTTATTTCACAGAGATGTTCGATCATGTGCACTACACTTTTACCCTCCATCCAGTCGACGCAACTTCATAACGTGACGCATAAAATATCGTCGTTCGTGGAATCAACAGGTGAATCGAGGGGACACGGTGTTTGTAGTAAACGGTACGTATTTATAGGCAAGTGTGCACCGAAGCATACGTTTAAAACACGCTTTCTGTCGCGATGTTGCAGGGTTAAACGGCAATGGAAAATAGAGTCAACGAGATGCGGCTGAGATAACGCGCAGGGAATGACTGACGTGGCCAGGCGAGATTACGTCCTGGCTTTAAAAGGACGACGCACCCCATCCGGTGTGCTGGTACTCGCCTATCGGTTACGTGACACGGTCACGCTCGTGAACGTCGAATTTGAATACAAGCGAGACGCTTCAATGGACTCTCTCCCTCGCTACCTGAATTATCTACGGTTACCTAGCATCCTTTTATTGAGTTCGCGTTTATACCAGCCGTACGAGATTCCAGCTTGTCTGAACGTTTCTTCTGGTACTGGAGTTTCTTCCATGGTACTATCTGTCTGACAAGTGATTTTATAACTATCCGCTGTAGCGATACAAAACTAATTGTACGTACAATTTCTGCTTACTCTATTGAGAGCATATTACGTATGATTTTTAGACGAGTTTTATAGTAAAATATTATTAGGTAATTATAGATCAATGGAATTTGAAACTGTTGATACATGTTGATTGTAATGTTAAGAAACGCAGCGTGGTTTTTGTGTAATTATCTTTGCCATCTGTTCCAGTTATTACTATTATACATTTTCTATAATGTGTCACACAACTGCACAATTCATCATCACCAAAATTTGTAGACATTAGTACAACTGCCATGATAATATTGTCATAATAATACTGCTATATTAAATGATAATAATTATTATCGCTATTTACATCAATATTAAATTTAACAAAAATTATCTCTTTTAAACAATTATAAAAAAACAAAATCTGCAATTCGTCATATTGGCGGGTTTGATTGTTTTCGAGTTACAGATTTATTAGTCTTGTCGAGTTAACGACATAAGACGTAATTTAAAAAAAAGGAGAAAAAACAAGAAGCTACACTCTAAAATAACACGACAAAAACACGTCCATGCTTGAACGCTTCACACGGCAATAACAGTGCAGAACAGAATCGTGACGACGACGTAAACAGTTGCAACTGAAATTCAATAATCCATTGATAATTACATACGTTAAGTTAATAAATAGCCGTGGTAATCCGGCATTACCGGTTTCTTAATTAGAGTCGAGACTACTATCGTGCGTGCTGCTCACGAAAGCAAAGCAAACCATTATTGTAATATTATAGTAACAAGAGTTATTATTGTTGTATTATTGCAAAATGATTGCTATCAATAGATTAACAACGTCTGAGCTCATGCAAGTAACAATAATTCAAGTTTAAAAGAAGATTCGGTTATTCCAATTTTTCGTCTTGGATAAAAGGATGACCATTTTGGCTTGTGACCTTGTCAACTCGTCAGATTCTTTATCACTTAAGTATAATTATTTTTTTATTTATAGACCTATTTCTTTATCTTCTGTATTATTTTTGTTAAAATTGACGTTATATCTATATTGTATTATATGTAATATTATAATATATTATGTATAATGTCTATTATTTTAAATTTCGTTATTATATCATATATATTATTATATAGATATAAATATAATATATTATATCATATATATTATTATATAGATATAAATATATTATATTATAATATATCTATATTATATTATATCTGCAGAGATTAAAATCTGAATTGAAACTAATTCTTTTTGTTAAATTAATTCTATAATTATTAAATTTTCTAATCAAGAAATTATCTGGTTAATAAGTTAAAACAGCTGAAATTGGAAAAAGAAAGGAAAAATGGAACGCGGAAATTTGAGAAATAGAAAAAGAAGAGAAAAGAAATGGAGATAAAGAAGAAGAATTGGTACATGTAATAATTAACATTATGATAGATGTTACTAGTTTACCTAATCGTTGAATATGTTGTTTTTATATATTACACTATATATTTATATATTATACTATAATCTATTCTATATATTACATCTCCCTAATAATTATCGAATAATTAAGAAAGTAACGACGTCTGAATTCGTTCGACTCTAACATACGCTATTATAAAATTATCTTCATTTCTTCTTCTTTTTAAAATACATCCATGAAAAAGCATAAGCAGACAATAATTCATACTAATTGTAAGTATTGAATGTGTCTAAAATGGCATTTAAATCGACTCAAACTGCTGTGAAATTAATTACAACGTTAATATCATATCGTATAATAAAAATACCCGATTTTGTCATCAAATAAAAGCACATACTCGTCAAAACAATTAAAATAACGCTGTACAGCAATACCTTAAGGGAACATCCCGTTATTTGACGCGCATTAACAACCAACAATCCAATGTACTAACATTGTACGTTTGTTTATAGATTTCGTGTTGCCGTGACTGTCTATACGAGGTCGACCCGCAGTCAAGGATTTTATTCTATTTATTTTAACCATGTTATCGACGATCGCAAACCACAGTGGAGATCATAGTGGTTCGCGATCGATACCAGCCGCAATATGATCGGCTACGTTCAAGCCTTGCCTCGCCGTCAAACGTTATCGGCACCAGCTTAACAAAATTGCCGTTGTAAGTATTTTCCAATCGATTTCACCGGTTCTAACGACTTAATGCCACGTTGGCTGATACGAAGGTCTTTATTAATTATTAGGCACCGTCCCGGCATAACATATCCTGATGGAGAAACGAACAACTCTGTCACGTGATATCGGAGGTAAGATCACGGCTAACTCGCTGGGTTCTTCTCCGTAATTGACCAATGCTGAGTTAAAATCATGCCTCGATGGATGTATTTCGGTGAGTAATCGTTGGAAAAGTTGTTTCCAATGGCTTCTTGATAAACGTAAAGACGGGACGGTGAAGCACATTGAATAATATTAATTTGTAATTGATTTTTGGCTGCTACTTCTGGCTTTGGCCACTACCGGCTTTGGACCTTTTTTATTATATTTTCTATTATGTTCTGGCTTTGGCCACTGATTCGGCTTCTGGCTTTGGATCTTTTATTATAGTTTTTACGATCTGGAGTTTTTTAAATAATAAATTTAAAATAGGATATTTATTTTGACATTATTGTTACTTTAATTATTATTAATTGCTAGCAGGTCTTATTGTATTTATCGCCCAATTTATTTTGCCTATACTTTCGAAATAATATTATTAAATATAGTATGATATATTTATACTATATTTACTATATAATATTATAATATAATATAATATATATTATAATATAATAATATACTATATAATATTACTAAATATAGTAAATGTAGTATAATATATTTAGTATATATATTTATTATATTTAGTATAGTATAATAATATTGCTAAATTTTGAAAATTAAACTTAATTTTCGGCATGAGTAAAACCTAAATGCTTCAATAACTTTTCTAAAATTAATCTTGCTGTACGTACTTTGTTGATCTCTGACATTTCAATTGGGAAAATTTGTTAGCCACAGCAATTCGTGTAAAAGAATTTCACAGTACACAAACAAGTCGAATAAATTTTCATCTGGGAAATTTTTAAAGAATTTCGACATAAACAAAGGAAACGAATGAAGAAGGTGGAGAAATAGAGAATAAGCATTGGACATAGAAAGTTACGATGGACATTGGCAATCGTCCCGGACAAGCTACATCAATATAGGGCCGAGTCTGATCGTCGGGCTCGTAAGTCGATCCCTAACGAGTACAAAGCGGCATATCGTCGATTCTAATTCTATACGCACTATTGTATGCCAATTGTACAACGTCGAGAACCGATGAGAGTGCAAGAGGTATACGGGCAGATAACAAGTGGCGATACGCAGCCGGAGACACGGAAGAAAAAGAAAGGGCCTGGCATAGAATTCACGTAGCATCGGTGGACACGTGAAACCAGTATCGATCTTATTGTTCGAGAATGGTATTGTCTTCGGTGCTTCGTTAAAATCGCACAACAGCCCTCGATGACTGACCAAAATGTTGATTCACGACGCGTTTCAATATTTAAGAACAATAACACTCTCAGAAGCCAAAGTGATTCGTTTATTTGGAATAATGAGAGAATGATCGATTGTAACGTCATTTTAAAATTCTAATCTTAATTTTATTTTAAAATAAATAAATATATATATATAATAAATGAAAAATTTCTCCCATTCTAGAATACATTTTCAATGAACTATAACATTTAAGAATAATAATAATAATAATAAATTCAAGATAATTTTTGTACCTTTAATATCATATATGGCACTTCCTATGAGAATTTTTCTTTTATTTTAAAATAAAATTAAGATTAGAATTTTAAAATAACGTTGCAAGTTCCAATATTATATATATTATATATATTCCAATATTATAATATTATAGTTCGAATATTATAATATTATTAGTTCCAATATTATAATATTAGTTATAATAGTTACAATATTGTATATATTCCAGTATATTATATATATTAGATATATTATAGAAAAATTAGAGAAACTTTAAACAAAGTTAGTGCAACAAGACATTTCAAGATATTTCTAACATGAGACGGCCTTAAGACAAAATTAACATAATCGACGTGAACCTTGAAACGATTTTCAGAATTCAGAATTGACTAATCATGACATACATATTAGGTCTTCACACATCGAAGTAATTAACTCCATTTTTTTGAATTTTTTAAAATTTTAATATCACTTTTTATATTTAAAATAAATTTTCTCAATAGATTAGATTTAACGCTGAATGACAAGAATTATTTTGATCAAATAATTTGAATTTCAGAAACCAATGTGATTATTCCAATGATATACTTTTTCATGCATTTTTTTTATCATTAAACAAAAATTTATAATAATAATTAAAATAAAATATTAAAAACTTAAAATAAAAATTACACTTATAATAATAATTCTATAATATTTATCTGAATTTAAATTGTAAAAAAAATACTATTTTATCAATTTTTCTACTTTTCGTTTCATAGAGTTAATCGATTTGACGAATGAGCGTCTCATGTATGACATAGTTGCTCAATAAGCTGCTGAAATTCTAATTTTAAATCTTTTATTTCTCTATTCCTTCATGTGACAGTCTTATAATCTAATAATAAATATAATAGTCTTGTAACAATATAATATTCAATAATCATTTCACGAACAATCCTCTAAGAGTTAAAGAATTGTTAACAAATGTAAAAAGGATCTGCTCTGACTTTTCACGCTTATACTCTTTCGAAAATGTCAGTCGATACTTCCGATAGTTTCGCTGAATGTATTTTCAATGCTAATCAAAGGGGACACACGTTCCAGCAAATCTGATTACAAATTGAATAACGAACAAGCTAAAAGCGCCCTTTAAGCCGATCTTTTGATGTCATCTTAGCAGAGCGTATGCTTCATGACTCGGTGAGATCGCAGTATCGATGCTTCGTGAAACCATTGTTAACTACTTGAAACCTCAAAACGGGTCATCACAACTGGCAAGAACGTGTACTCACGTCGTGATTCATGCACATTTGTAATGCCAGATGAG